CTTTTTTTATCGTTGACCTCGCGGCGTCAATCCGGCGTTTCGTCGCGAGAATTTGGCGGCGCGCCCTTTTTGAGCGCTCGTTCTGTGACACATGAAGTTGCAAGTGACATGCCACTGTTGCTCCCGGCTATTTTAAAGACCACTTCAAATCTAGCCGGTTTCTCTGGGACACGGCTACGGAGCCGCGTAGTAGCGGCGATAATTTGACTTGATTTCCTGCCTGCGGGTGTGTAGTCTAGCCAGGATTTGACTAAGAGTGTAGTTATACGTTCGAGTTCCAAGATTTAAGGCGTTAACCTGTATGAGTATTGTACTGTGTCTGACGTTATCGAATGCTTTCTTAAAATCTAAACCTATAGCAGAGCTTAGGTTGAGTGGATCGTGGTGTCTGATTTGGTGCTTCAATTCAAACAGAGTGTCCTGGCCTGATAGGTGCCTTCGGAAAACTAACATAGTGCACGGGAGAACGTCATTGTCTTCTAGGTAATCTGTTAGTCGAGCCAAGAAGGTGTGCTCCATGAGTTTTTCTACGCTGGAAGTTAGAGAGATGGGTCTAAGGTTGTGAATGTTCAGTGGCTTTCCTGGTTTGGGGATGAGAATAATCTAGACAACCTTCCATTGTGGGGGTAAACGTCCTGTGGCCCAGCATGCGTTAATGTAGTCCGTAAGGTGACTAATAGATTCATCGTCTAGGTTACGTAGTGTCTTGTTCGTAATTGAGCCAAAACCAGGAGCGGATTTGATATTAAGGCGGTGTAGTACGGCGCAAATCTCTGCTTCCGAAAATTCCTCGTCAAGAGTTGCATTTGTCCTACCGTATAATCTGGGTGTAGTTGAGGAGGCGCTTGGGAGATATGTGTGTTTGCTATCTTTCGCAAGAGTTCTCCTTGGTACTTGTGTAATCATTGATGAGCTTATCGATATTTGGACGGTGGACTGTTTTTTGTTCTCAGGGTCTAATAGAAGACGGAGAAGGTGCCATGTTTTTCCGAAATCTGTTTGCTTGTTATGAAGTTGCAAATGACATGCCACTGTTGCTGGCTTAATTATTATCATATGTTTCCACCTCTCTGTTGAGGAGCGCTATACGTTTCCAAAGGTTCCTGTTTAATTTCTGTGTTTCGCACCTCTTTTGGAGTGATTGTCTTGCTTCCCACATATGTAGAAGTCGGCTATAAATCTCCTCGTGATGTGCCTCTGAGGGCACAGTTTGTGTAGCGTGATCAATGTCCTGTCTTAAAGTGTTGGTCCAATGTTCAATATTGTTACGGGAAGGAGACTGACTCAGAGGGGTAGTCACCGATCACCGATGTAATTACAGCCGGTTAGGCGAGCAGCGCCAGCCACACAGATTAGCTCGTGCCAGTCTATCTGCTTTCTCTTCTTCGTCTCCATGCACTGGCACGTAGCATGTCCCCGGCGGTGGAGGCACCGTGCTGGTGCTTTAAAGGTCGTTACTGATGCATTATTGTAGGGCTTGATCCGCGAGACGTGTACGATATTACTGGGCCACATAGTAGATGATGATGGACAGATGGGGCTGATCTCGTAGGTGACAGGTGTTACTTGACGCAATATACGGTAGGGTCCCGTGTAATGAGACAGACGTTTTTCGGATAGGCCCAGCCGACGATGAGGGGACCAGAGTAAAACGAGGGTACCGGGAGCGAAATGTACGTCTCTATGTTCCGCATCGTACCGACGGCATTGGTTGGTTTGCGACGCCGTCAGCCGAGCGCGAGCGAGCTGACGGGCATGATCGGCTCGCGCAATCGCGTCGCGGGCATACTCGCTGGTGGACGAGGTGTGAGCTGAGATGACTGTGTCCAGTGGTAAAGTCGGGTCTCTTCCGTACAATAAGTAGAACGGCGAAAATCCCGCTGTGTCATGACGGGATGAATTATACGCGAAAGTTGCGTAGGGTAAGGCAAGGTCCCAGTCTCGGTGGTCGGGCGACACGTACATAGCGAGCATATTTGTTAAAGTGCGGTTTAAATCGTTCCGTAAGGCCGTTTGTTTGAGGGTGGTAAGTGGTGGTCAGTGTGTGTTGCGTGGAACAAGAACGCAGAATGTCGGCGATGACTTGGGATAGAAATGTACGGCCACGGTCTGTGAGAAGCTGTCTCGGTGCACCGTGAATCAATATAACGTCCCGTAACAAGAAGTCAGCGACGTCGGTTGCACAGCTGGTCGGTAGAGCTCGCGTAATAGCGTAGCGTGTAGCGTAGTCTGTGATAACGGCTATCCATTTGTTTCCCAATGTTGATGTGGGAAAAGGACCAAGCAGGTCTAACCCAACACGGTAAAATGGTTCCGCGGGTATGTCAATTGGTTGAAGATGGCCAGCGGGTAGCAGCGACGGTGTCTTACGACGTTGGCATAGGTCACATGTGGCGACGTATCGGCGTACCGAACGAGCAAGGCTGGCCAGAAAAAACGGCGCCGGACGCGCTCGTACGTGCGGGATACGCCAAGGTGTCCAGCTGTGGGAGCGTCGTGAAGTTCAGTGAGAACACAGCGGAGCAAATGCTTAGGCACAAAATGAGAAGGTCGCGCCCGTCTAGTCGGAAATTGCGACGGTATAGCACACCCTTTTGAATGACAAAGTAGCGGACGGAAGCATCATTTGTGGAGGATTCCATACGGCTGATGATGTCAAGCAGCTCTGGATCACGCTTCTGTTCTTCCCTAATATTAAGGAAGTCGGAAACAGACAAGATAGAGTTCTCCGTGGGCTCGTCAGTGTCCTCAGGATCGTCGACAGGGTACCGGGAGAGGCAATCAGCATCACGGTGTAGGTGGCCAGATTTGTAGACCACCGAATAGGAAAACTCTTGCAGGCGCAAAGCCCAGCGATCAAGGCGGCCTGATGGATCTTTCAGAGAGTTCAGCCAGCAGAGTGCGTGGTGGTCGGTAACTACCGAAAATGGACGTCCGTATAGATAAGGTCGAAATTTCGCCCCCACCCATACAAGAGCCAAACACTCAGGCTCTGTTATCGAATAGTTACGTTCAGGGGCGGATAGGAGGCGGCTGGCATATGCAATAACGCAATCATGGCCCTGTTGTTTTTGAGCCAGCACTGCACCAATGCCATGCCCACTTGCATCTGTACGGATTTCCGTAGGGGCAGCAGGGTTGAAGTGTGCCAGAATCGGAGGGGTAGTGAGAAGAGCGACGAGAGTCGAGAACGCAGAAGCCTCTTCGGAGCCCCATGAAAACGGGACTTCTTTCTTGAGGAGCTTCGTAAGCGGCCTCGCTATGTGCGCAAAATTTTTCACGAAGCGTCGGAAGTAGGAGCATAGTGCGATAAAGCTGCGTACATCCTTCGCAGATCGTGGTACAGGAAAGTTTTTGACGGCGCTGATTTTTGCCGGGTCTGGTTGTACACCGTTGGCGTCTACTAAATGGCCAAGCACTGTGATTTGATGGCGTCCAAAGTGACATTTGGACGAGTTGAGCTGCAGGCCAGCGTGACGGAAGATTCCCAGGATGGCGTAGAGGCGCTCTATGTGAGTTTCAAATGTTGGTGAAAAGACGATGACGTCGTCCAAGTAGCACAAACAGGTGGACCATTTGAATCCTCTGAGCAGGGAGTCCATCATTCGTTCGAAGGTGGCTGGAGCGTTACAAAGGCCGAAGGGCATGACCTTGAACTGATATAGGCCATCGGGGGTGATGAATGCCGTCTTTTCACGGTCCATTTCATCTATCTCTATCTGCCAGTAGCCGGAACGAAGGTCTATGGAGGAAAAATAGTGGGACCCATAGAGGCAATCAAGCGCATCATCTATTCGTGGCAGAGGGTAGACGTCTTTTTTGGTAATTTTGTTTAGGTCTCAATAATCCACACAGAAACGCCATGCACCGTCTTTCTTGCGGACTAGCACTACAGGAGAAGCCCAAGGACTGCAAGATGGCTCAATGATGTCCTTGGCGAGCATTTTGTCGACCTCACTTTGGATGATGTGACGCTCGGCCGCCGACACCCGATATGGACGCCTATGAATAGGATGCTCATTACCAGTGTTTATGCGGTGGCTCATACCGTGTATGTAAATCAAATAAATAAATAGAAGTTCTTCAGGTCTATGAAGCATGTGTGTTGGACAATGGCCCAACACGGCAATATAAATGTTCTAGAAGCTGGAGTGAAGGCTTCCACCCCATTTTACCAAGGGTTTTTGATGATTTTATTGCGTGATTTCAACGCACGAGCTGATACTCCCAGAAAAGCGATATTGAGATCCTCGATCTCACTTGTTTCGCCTTGCTCAAGTGGCTAAAAGCTGACTTTTTATTAAACATTTATGAACGTAGTAAATAGGAGCGTTGATTCATGCATGCAGGAACCTCGGCATTCATTGAATATCTAAGCAACAATTTATTTTCAGTTTCTATTAATTATTATTTCAAAATACAAAGGTTAATGAGTTGCAGTATACAGACGAAGGTGTTGAATTAAAGCAACTGCAACGGGACCCTTGGGTAATGTTAACATAAAAATACATAGATGAAAAGTAGAATAATAATGCCAAAATTACCCATAGCAAAGAGAAGTGAGTAAGGAACGTACAAAAAAAGACCTACAATGCCATACAACAAGTACACAACAATCAGAGATGTAAATAAGTATACCTTAAAATATCAACCTTAACTACAATTGTTTTGAAGGTATATACGCAATTTACATAACAATATTGATTACGAACTAGTTAAACACTATCATATTTAAGTTCATGTTTCAAAGTATGCGATAATGATAGTTCAAAACACACGCTGCCTTCGGCAATACACATATGCTCAGGTGAATTTTCCCTACCATCAAGAAAAGTCAAGCACTTTTTCTTAACCTTCGTTTAATGACTAATCGAGAAACTGTGTTCCACTAGCGGAAGGATGTGCCACACGCAGTATTATCGTAACGTTGTGTTAGAAAACGAAGCACATTCCACCTTCTGGGAAAGTAACACACGGTGAACTATTCCTTCGCAGGGCACATGGGCTTGCCTGGACGCCACGGGAAGATCCTAGATCTGTCCCGCTTTGACGCTCAGTTCTTCCACACGAACCCAAAGCAGGCACACGTGATGGACCCACAGCTACGAATGCTGTTGGAGACGTCGTACGAGGCCATCTTCGATGCCGGATACGACCCCGACACACTGCGCAAGCGCAGCATAGGTGTATTCATTGCAAATTCGAACTCCGAGTCATACTACGCTTTTCGCAAGGACGACAAGGTGGATAGCAACTACCTGCTGGGATGCGCCAGGTCAATGTTTTCCAACAGAATCTCCTACTCTCTCGACCTGCAAGGTGTGTGACATATACTTGCTTCAGAATCACAATCTTTCGCGGAGGACAAGTTATTTGTGTGCATGAAGAATCTTGACAGAGTACAGAATGTTAACATTCTTTCCAAACACATCAGCGTACTCTGCCCAGGACATAATTACGACAAAGTGGCAAGAGAGATTGGCTTAAATATAAGCAGTTCAACATATGGGCAGCAGGGTTCCAGGCCAGCTCGACGTAGTGCTGCTGCATTCATAACTTTTGAGAAATCTGCAGTCATTGAGCTCTTTGCGATGTACAGGTCTGATGTAACGGTCCAATTGCCTGTTTTGTCTCCTCTGTGTTACAAGCATTCTTCCTGAGTTCTAAGCGTTGCGCCATGCATCGGTGCTGTGTTAGAACCGTTTTTTGGGCCACTGCAGTTGCGGCTTCGCTATTGCTGAGTGACCTATCAACTTTGTGTGGAGCACCCAGAATTTGTGTTTCCTCTCCGTCTTTTTTTCCCACTAGCATCACACCCTGCAGCAAGAACAGTATCTTACCGATCGTAAATCAAATTAAATATCTGTTTTAATATCTGTTGTTGCCCTCAGTCATCTGCGCGAGCAAATGCTGCTAAAGCGACGCACGCCATGGAATCAAAACAGGTGACTTTCCGTACTCCTGAGTAGATGCGGACGTAGGACATTTCAGTGTTGTCACCTTCCACAGCAACTTCAACTAGCGCCCCTGCTCTTATCATACCTGCGAAAACTCTTGGCGCTCTGTTCAGCAGAACACTGTCGCCTCCGCTTTCCAGCGGTCGCAGAGATCTCGGATCGCATCTGTGGAGCGTCAGAATGTAACTCTTGCTTTTTACCATTGCTGTGGGTGGAATGAAGAGCGCGCGCATGTTCTCGCCGCCACTGCAACGAAATGCGGTGACTAACCGCCTCTACAGCAGCGTTTGTTACCACTAACACATTGGTCAGCCGCGTGAGCATGGCTCCCAAATTGAGCTTGGGTCCCCCATAGCAGACAGCTACTCTTCGCCCTCTGCGGGTAAACGTTAATCCTTATTTATTCTTTGTTACGGTGAGAGCATTTGATTGATGTAGATTTTATTTGCGTTGTGCTCGTGTAGATTGTTCCATCTGTAGGTCCACGACCCCTGTAGTCGCCGATGGCAACTAACTATGGATTTAACGCCTGCTACAGCACGTTCCCCCCTCCCTCCTTTGTGCGCGTTGAGAAAGTGAAAAATAGGGGGGGGGGTCCGCACGTATCACCTCGTATTTGAGTTACCCCAATTCATCGAGTGACGCCTGAAATTTGAGCAAGGTAAACCGAGGCCTATTCTTCGAGAATAGGCCGAGGCAACTGGTGCAAGGTCATGTGCAGCACACGTGACTGAGTCATCGTTGGCGTTCCTTGTGCACGTATCATGGAGTAGGTGCTATATTACTGTTGTGTTGATTAACCAACAAACTTGAGATATATTAGTTTCATGCACAAGCACTTAATTCGACACGGCGACCCGCCACTAGGACTCAATCTTGGCCAACATTCTATAACACAGGGTCGAGTATGACGGTCGACACTGCGTGCTCTTCCACACTGTGGCATTGAACGAGGCCATGCTCGCGCTTCGCTCTGGGCGATGCGAGGCTGCCATCGTGGGCGCTGGGAACCTCAACCTCGATCCATGCGTCGCGCTGAATTTCAAGCAGATGGGCGTGCTGTCAGAGGACGGAAAGTGCAAGTCTTTCGACTCAAGTGGTGAGCTTCCTGTGGGTTACCATTCCCCGTATCCTGAAAACTTACATAAAAGCCGCTTCCACAACTATGTTTGTCACGACGTCGTCCTCTCCAGAACATCACATAGTAGGTCACTCCAATACTTCATTTTTTTCATATTGCATGACTGCCTCATTTGCCGTAAAAAGTATATTCTTCCATACCTGTGGCTGAGCTCAAAGAACAACGATGCAGAAGCAAGTTCTTGCATTCAGCATGTTGATAATCCATCTTCAATAAATAACATAGGATTCGACAACGGACAAATATGGGAACAAAGACAAGTGCCGACTTTCAAAATCGAAATTTTCAGTGGATATTCTCTCTGTTGCTCTTCTTCTCTATTTAGGCATCGCATATGTTGATACTTGGGATATTGTTTTTCTTCTAAATTTGGCAGCGAGGCCTGTTATATGCCTGCTTGCCTGCACACACAAGGTGTAGTATGGCAAGACAGATAGATAGATAGATAGATAGATAGATAGATAGATAGATAGATAGATAGATAGATAGATAGATAGATAGATAGATAGATAGATAGATAGATAGATAGATAGATAGATAGATAGATAGATAGATAGATAGATAGATAGATAGATAGATAGATAGATAGATAGATAGATAGATAGATAGATAGATAGATAGATAGATAGTGATAATGATAATTTTTACAGTAGCGACGCTGAATTCCGGCTCACTTCGACTCAATGCATCGTTGTTCTTTGACCTCAGCCGCAGGTGTGGCAAAATATAGTGTTTACGGCAAATGATGCAGTTCTCCAATAATGAAAAAAATGAAATATTGGTATGACCTACAATTTAATGTTCTGGAGAGGACGATGTCGTGACAAACATATCTGTGGAAGTGGCTTCTATGTTTTTTGTTGCCCTTTTTTTCACTGCGGTCGTACATGATGCTCATGGTTTCCCATAAATAGTCGAGCTTAAGTGCAAATAAACCGTTATTTGAAGCAAGCATTTCGTCCTGTGTCATATTTTAGTCTTGCTACAATTGTGCTCTCACACCTACCAAATTGGCACATTTCCGTAAGTTTTGAAGTTATTCTTCTGATGTTACTCAAGTTTACTCATCAACTTGGTCATGTGTTTTTGTTCTATAGAACATCCTATTTGCCCGTGTTGCTATCCTCAATTCATCTGCTCTTTGGTACATTGAATCTAAGAAGTGCGATTTATATATTTATCAAGTTACCTCTCCAGGATTGCCGGGCTGCGCATGTGGCTGGGTAGTTTGCCTTTTTGCCTTTTTTTCATATAAATATTAGTTTCGAGTGTGCATCAAGTTCCGCCAGCTATTTCTTCAGCATTTGTTGTTGCTGCATTCAATTCATATCCACATGGAAAAAACTACAATAATAACCGCAGTTTTCAATGGAACATACTATTTGTACTTTGAGAAAAAATATGGTGTAGAAAACTATTACACTTTCTTGCCCGGAAAGTGAAAAAGATCTTATTATTCACAAATACTCATTAATCACAATATACAATACACAATATTCACAAATACACAATAATCGTTTCCAAAACTTTTAAACCCAAGTTCCACACTAGCAAAGCCTGCCTATCTGAAAGAATTTCGCCCTTTGTACCCAGGTCGTACGCGAAGCATCAGTGATTGCCATGCCCTGTGCAATGCGGCAGAAAGCGTATGGCGTCCTGCTTTCGCAAAGCTCGCTTTCAGGAACGGGACTGCTGGATGGTGTGCGCATTTTATTTATGTTTTTTTTCCTCAAAAAGGCAAACCACCGATACTTCACCAAAAAAGATGCATTACTTCTAGATCAGCTGAGAGAGTGTACAGCTTCATAACTAACTATGTAGTGGCGGAAGCAATAAACAAATGTTCATCATATAAAAAAAAGCTAGTTATCTCTCACAAATGCCAAAATACGTTTTGTAACTCCACGCTACTGCCGCTACTCTGAGGTTCATGTAGTTCGTTGAAGCACATTATTTTCATTCAGTCCTGGTTCCGGTCAACTTCTATTTGTTAATTGTTTCAGTGAAAGGCTCTGGAAATTCTGTCTATTAGGTGTTGTAAAACGTGGACGTTAATCTGAGTGCACGGATCTCTAGTATATTGTCTCCATCGAAAAGCATCCACCTCTGTCGAGATTCGATCCTTCGACCTTAGGGTACAAATTTTAGCATCATAACCACTAGATTACGTCAGCAGGCTTCACGCCAGTGGAATATCTAGTGTAACGTACTTTCTATTCATAATAAAGTTGACCTGCCAAAATGTACTTAGAAGGCTGCCCTTAGGTATATGTCTTCAATGCTTAATGGTACCATGTTTTTCCTTTGTGCAGGCGACGGCTACGTTCGAAGTGAAATTATTGGCTGCATGTTCCTACAAAAAATTTCCGATGCCCGTCGAGTATACACCAAGGTTATCAACGTAAATGTTAATACCGATGGTTACAAGCTCGAAGGTAAGCTTGCCATCATGTTTCTCAATTTGGCCTTGCCATTTTATAGTGATAAAGTATTTCGTTAGCCAGTGAGCTTCACCTTTGCGTGTAATGTGTGCGCGTGCGCGCGTGTGTGTGTGTGTAAACTTTTCATGCCAAATGAGGAATAACGCAGTCCTCGCTATAAATGAGGCCGCCTTATTGACGAAAGAATCACAATTAGTGGCGTTCACAATTTTTATTTACTATGTATTATGAAAGTTCGAACAGGCTACTTAACAATCGACCACATTCATACTATCAACCAGGTAATAGAGAAATGCTCAGAGTATAACCAACCACTATACATAGCCTTCATAGATTACGAGAAGGCGTTTGATTCAGTAGAAATATCAGCCGTCATGCAGAGACTGGGGAATCAGGGCGTAGATGAAGTATATATAAACATTCTGGAAGAAATATACAGGGGATCAACTGCTACTATAGTGCTTCAAAAAGAAAGCAACAGAATACCAATCAAGAAGGGTGTAAGGCAGAGGAACACTATCTCCCCAGTGCTATTTACCGCGTGCTTCCAGGAGGTTTTCAGAAGCCTAGAATGGGAGCAGTTAGGAATAAGAGTTAATGGAGAATACCTTAGTAACCTGCGCTTCGCCGATGACATTGCATTGCTGAGTAACTCAGGGGACGAATATTAACTCATGATTACGGAGTTGAACAGGGAGAGCAGAAAGGTGGGTCTTAAAATTAATCTGCAGAAAACGAAAGTAATGTACAACAACCTCGGAAAAGAGCAGCGCTTCGAGATAGGTAATAGTGTACTTGAAGTTGTAAAAGACTATGTCTACTTAGGGCAGGTAATAACCGCAGAGCCGAACAACGAGATCGAAGTAACTAGAGGAATAAAAAGGGGGTGGAGCGCATTCGGCAAGCACACTCAAATTATGACAGGTAGTTTGCCACTATCCCTCAAGAGGAAGGTATATAACAGCTGTATCTTGCCAGTACTTAGCTACGGAGCAGAAACCTGGAGACTTACAAAGAGGGTTCAGCTTAAATTGAGGACGACGCAGCGAGCAATGGAAAGAAAAATGGTAGGTGTAACCTTAAGAGACAAGAAGAGAGCAGAGTGGATTAGGGGACAAACGGGGGTTAAGGATATCATAGTTGAAATAAAGAAGAGGAAATGGACGTGGGCCGGGCATGTAGCGCGTAGACAGGATAACCGCTGGTCATTAAGGGTAACTAACTGGATTCCCAGAGAAGGGTAGCGGGTTAGGGGGAGACAGAAGGTTAGGTGGGCAGATGAGATTAAGAAGTTTGCGGGTATAAATTGGCACCAGCAAGCACAGGACCGGGTTAACTGGCGGAACATGGGAGAGGCCTTGGTCCTGCAGTGGACGTAGTCAGGCTGATGATGATGATGATGATGATTCACTATGCTATCCTCGTTATTCTTTGGGGAAGCGTACGCCGTACCGCTACACAATTTTCTGAAAACTTGTGCAATTTTTTTAATGCAGTGGCTGACCACGATGAAGAAATATGTGTGTGCGCGCCACAATAATAGGCGATTAAGAACAAGTTTCTAATGGGTTGGAGCATTGGACGACCCAGTCGTTATGCAATTCGAATTGTGTTACGCCTGGCTGTTTCTTTGACGTTTTAAACCGCTTTATTACTCATATTAACGCGATTCTTCTCCTGACATCAAGCCTGCCTAAGGGCAATTTAGAACGAATTTCAAGCACTGGCTAGACTCCCTGGTAGAGTACTGGGCTAACACGCAGCAGACTTGGGTTCGAATATGTTGTGTAATCACGTTTTTTTATTTACTGACTTCATGGCACTAGCGTGGCTCAGTGGTAGAGTACTGGGCAGTTACACAGTGAACCCGGGCTGGAATCCCATTGTGTTATTGGTGTTTTTTTTTATTTACCAAGTTCTTTTTTCATTCGATACTGCATGATTACAGGCGCCGATGGCAGTGGACAACTACGGTGCCGCGCGTGACCCATGTTCTGATCACATTACCGCTTTCGCTGCAAAAAAAGAAGCACCCAGAGATATCAATTCGTATATATGTTTACACAGTTGCCTCACAGCCGAAGTAACTAGTGATTACACGCAGTGAAAATGACAGTTTCACTCGCACACAACTATAAGCCATTGGAGAATAACAGAGGAGCGTGGGTGCGGACTTACTATTGAGGCGAGGGGGCGGGGGTATTCGTCATTTCACGTACTCGTTTGAGAAGCTCCTAGATATCCAGAGAAAACGATGCTTGGAAAACATCCAATTCTTCATCTGATAATGTGTCCTGCTCCATTGTCTGGTCAATGAAATTGCGAGAAGCCTCAACATCTTTTAAAAGGCCCCATATTGCTACTGCGACGATATCTCTTCCTTCTTTTTAAGCTGTTAATTGTATTTTCTTTTTGCCTGTTCCACTGCTTTGTGGGTGAAGTTCGGGGGTGGCAGAATTTCGGTTGCTCCATCAATGAGAAGCGCTTTAAGTGAAAGCGTATTTCCGTGACGTTTCCGAAAAGCTCGTTTCGTTTTTTTTCCTACATAAAAAATGCATATGGCAGAATCAGAAACTTTGGCATTGGCAATGTAGTGCTCATGCAAATATATCAAAGCCATAATCTCAGAAATGCAGGGCTGCTACTAAATTACCTATCTTAAAAAAACGAAGTGCTACCTTCTATTAGCTAGGTGCGCTCACGTACTGGCTTTTGAAAGTGCGCATGGAAATGATGCAAACACGGTAGTAATGTTAAAAGCCCATCGTCTCACAATTTACCCTCTCTCATCCAAGCAGCCTGCTAAAATATGTGTACTGAACATAAGTCGTCCTTTTTTTTTTTGGCACCTAATTCCTCAGAGCGCACCCCTTTGCCACGCAATATTGTCGCGAGAGGAAACGATAGGCAGGAACTCGAAGTAGAGGACTGTTTACTCAGCCACAGCTGCCATTCACTTCTTCGCTCTCGTCTTCTGCTACCAACACAGCGCGTGGCATTACCCTCTCCCCAATGAAAAAAAAAGAAGAAGCATCGAATGAATGCCATGGCTCCGAAAAACAACGAAAAGTAGTAAGAAATGTCTGTGTCCATTGAAAAGAAAAAGGACGAGATGAAAAATAAAGAGGCAAGAAAGTAATGTGCAATTGTCTTGAAGGATATTGCCACATCACAAAGTTCTTGTCTTGCAGTCAACGAGAATAGTACGGCTTCATCCTGGAGACGTGAACCACATCCGAGGAGCGGGGTCTGCGAGAACGGTGTGACGTGTCTGCTGGGACAACTTCGTAGTTCACTTCGCCGAGGCGATGAAGAACTCGGTAGGGTCCGAAGTACCGACATAACAATTTTTCTGAGCGTCCACGTTGACGTATAGGAGTCCAAACCCAGACTAGGTCACCGGGTTCGTATATTACTGCTCTGTGGTGGGTGTTGTACCGGCGAGCATCTTGATTTTGCCGCGATAAAATGCGAAAGCGCGCCAGCTGCCGGGCGTCTTCGGCACGCTGAACAAATACATCTGCGTCCGGGGTAATCGTGTCCGGAAGAGTTGGTTGCAGCATGGTGTCAAGCATTGTGGTGACGTCGCGGCCGTAAACCAGACGAAAAGGAGCAAAGCCGATGGTTTCCTGCAAAGCCGTATTGTAGGCAAATGTTATATACGGGAGGATTTCATCCCATTTCTTCTGATCCTTGGCGACATACATCGAAAGCATATCTGCAATCGTTTTGTTAAGACGTTCGGTTAACCCGTTAGTCTGTCGGTGGTACGCAGTTGCTGTTCGATGCGTCGTGCCGCTCAGCAACAGGATCTCTCGGAGCAACTGTGCCGTAAAAGCAGTACCACGATCTGTGATGACGACAGCGGGAGCACCGTGGCGGAGAACGATGTTCTTGATGAAAAAGTCAGCCACCTCGGAAGCAGTTGCTCGCTGGGCGGCTTGTGTTTCGCAGTATCTGGTCAAGTAATCGGTGGCAACCACGATCCAGCGGTTACCAGCCGTAGACTTCGGAAATGGGCAGAGTAAATCCATCCCGACCTTTTCAAAAGGTTCGTGAGGGGGTCGCAAAGGCTGAAGCAGACCGGCTGGTTTGGTCGTTGGAGTTTTGCGGCGCTGACAGGCTGTGCATGTCTTGACGTACTGCCGGACGGTTTTCGTAAGTTTCCGCCAGTAGTATTTGTCCTTGATCCGCGCCAGAGTACGCGCGAAGCCAAGATGCCCTGACGATGGCTCGTCGTGACTAGCACGCAAAACATCATCGCGGAGAGCAGCAGGAACGACGAGGAGGTAAACAGTTTTCGTTGAATGAAAGTTGCGCTTGTAGAGGATGCCTTGGCGTAAACAGAAAGATGACAAATCACGCGCGAACTGATGTGGGGGTTGTGGGCGACGTCCCTCAAGGTATTCGATCAGGGGTTGCAATTCCAAGTCTTGGCGCTGCTGCTCAGCCACGTTTAATGATGCGAGAATAGCAAGGCAGCTGAATTCTTCATCATTGTCTTCTTCAGCGACCTCGACGGGTGCGCGGGAAAGACAGTCAGCGTTGGTGTGTTTCTGGCCAGACTTGTAAACCATCGTTATATCAAACTCTTGTAACCGAAGGCTCCATCTTGTGAGACGGCCCGAAGGATCTTTCAGATTCGCTAGCCAGCAGAGAGAGTGGTGGTCACTTACGATTCGGAAGGGGCGTCCGTACAAGTATGGCCTGAATTTCGTTATGGCCCATACAACCGCCAGACATTCTTTTTCAGTTGTCGAGTAGTTCTTCTCCGCAGATGACAACGTGCGGCTAGCGTAGGCGATGACGCGTTCCACGCCATATTGATATTGCACGAGAATAGCTCCGAGGCCAAGGTTGCTCGCGTCAGTGTGGACTTCTGTGTCTGCTTCGGTGTCGAAGTGACCTAGGATCGGTGGAGTTTGTAGGCGTTGTTGAAGGTCGCAGAAAGCGCTGGATTGTTTGGGACCCCAGAGGAAGGCGACGTCATCCTT